GCCCCTTATTTCCCTTTCCTCATCTTCCACCTCGCTTCCGAATCTGCCCGTGATTCCTCATCCATAGGATACCCACCTCCCTGCTAATGCTGCCAGACACTGCAGCCCGAAGAGATAAAGTCCAGCAAAGTTTCCGGCTTAATATCGCAGGTTTTGGGCAATCTCATTACAGCCTTTGCTATCGCCTCTGCTAACGAAGGCGGTTTGTGCCGACCAGCCGGAGCATCTTGCCCCAACAGCCCTTGCCCGTTTCCTTGCCTCTCCCAGAGGCTCCTTCTCCCGTGCCAGTGCTGCAACCCCCCCCCAGCACCTTTCCGAAGCCCCTCTGGAAACGCATTGGCCAAATCCTGCAGCCAGGACAGGGGTATAGAGGCCGGACAGGGCCTCCGTGCCTGCTGGAGACTCGGGGAAGCCGGTGGTCCCAGCAGCTGGGAAAAGCATCCTGGCCGGTGAGCTGAGCACCGGCACGGGGATGGGGGGATGATACAGCCGCCCACCATGCAGGGGCTTTGCAGTGCTTTCGCAGAGCGGGGCTGACCTGCAGGTGGTTAGGCTGAGCCTTAAAGCTAAAATATGCCTTTTTCTGCCTTAAAATTGCAGCCGGGGTTTTGCCAGGCATAAGTCCCGTCACCGCTGCAGGCAGCTCCTGCCTGCATAAAGCTGGGGAAACCTGATGGTGGGTGCTGCAGAGACCTGTTCCCCCCGTTAAATCTGTAGTGACAAAATGCCCACCCCCCCCATCAGAAGCTCTCAGGGCCCCAGATAATGATGATAATTATGTATAATTACCACTTTATGTGTAAGAGGAGGGCAGGGTCTCCTCTTCCCTAGCCCAACTCCCTTGGGTACCGTGGCTTTGCCAGGGAGAAGAAGATTTTAGGGGATCTCAAACCACAAACCTCAGAATGCAAGGAGAAGCAGCAGCAGACACCCGGGAGCAGGGGTGCTGCCAGGCTGCTGTGCCGGTGTCTGCACGGATACAGCTCCTGCACTGCCGGAGTGTTGCGGTGTTGGGACACGGATTCCTCTTCCTTGCGTCATTCCTGAAAAAAAAAAAAAATCCCATGAGAACAGAATATCTTCTGGGCTGCTTTAATTCCTCATCAAAATAATGATATAAATAAGAATGAAATAAAATAATAATTCAGCCAAGGTGCTGCAGTACCTTGGGCTGTGTAACCCAAGGAGAAGAAGACTTGTTGGGGCACTGAGATCATCCCAGCAGGACACACCCCAGCCAGGCTGGGCACTGGCATAAATAGGAAAACCCACCTCCGAGGGGATTAAGATATGAAGGGAATAATCGCTTTATCCTCTTCCAGCTTAATTTTTCTGTCTTCCCTTCCCTAGGCCCTTCCAACGGCAGCTGGCCCAACTCTACCACAAGCAAGACCCACCTCCTGAGGGAGAACTACACCTTCTCAGCCTACTACCAGCACTCCTCCCCTGTGGCCGCCATGTTCATCCTGGCCTACACCTTCATCTTCCTCATGTGCATGATCGGCAATATCCTGGTGTGTGTCATCGTGGTGAAGAACCGCCAGATGCGGACGGTCACCAACATGTTCATCCTTAACCTGGCCATCAGTGATCTTCTGGTGGGCATCTTTTGCATGCCCACCACCTTGGTGGACAACCTCATTACGGGTGAGCAGGGCAGGGGAGGGGCAAGACGCAAGGAGGGGAGAGAAAGTGGAGGGGAACATCACCCACCTTCTGCCCCCCACACGAGGCCACTGCGTGGCGATTTTTTTGCTGAGGATGAGGAGGGCAGGTGGTGGCCACTCAGCCACATCTGATAAAAGGTATAATTTCTTTTAGCGCTACTATTTTAGTGGGGGGAAAGTCCTTTTTTTTTTTGAGGCAAAATATGTATGACCTTAACACTGCATTTACATATTTATTTAAAGTTCAGACATTCTCCATCAAGCAACACTGAAAAAAAATCCTCATCTTCTTGCATCAATCTTCTCCCGTGCTAGCTCAGCTCTGCCCATCGACCTTTCCAAAGATAAAAGGCAACATTGGCACGGTTGGCGGAGTTTAGCCGCAGCTGTAGCCGGGGTGGGGCAGAGTTTGCATTTATTTATTATGGGGCATGATTTATTTATTTATTGCCAACACCTTAGCATTGGGGTCAAGAAACAAGACAAAAGCCCTTCTGATTGAGGATCCCAAGGTCAGTCCTTGTGATAACAGCTCAAGCCCTACGTAAGGGTAGGAGAAATGACCACCACTGTGCTCCTTCAGTTTCTAAGCTGTGTAATATGCATCTTTTTTACCGATTTTGGGGTTTTTCTCCAAGCTTCTGTACTGCTAAAGGCCATTTCTGTATGAGCCAAAAATGCAGCTCCCCACCTTAGGAGCAGGATTTAGCATCGCCCAGCAATGACACGGTGGATGGGGACATTTAGAGGGAGCTGGTAATGGATCCGGCTGAGCCAAAGGCACCTACAACCTCCATGATGTCCCCTTGCAGGTTGGCCCTTTGACAACACCATGTGCAAAATGAGCGGCCTGGTGCAGGGCATGTCTGTCTCCGCCTCCGTTTTCACGCTGGTGGCCATCGCTGTAGAGAGGTACATTGGTGCGGGGATGTGGGGATACGGGGACCAAGCCACCCCCAGTGTGTTCAGGTGTCACGTGCGGTTTCCATCACGGCAAAGCTCCTGGGGACATCAGGAGCATGTCCCAGCTTTCCAGGGGGACCACAAACCTGTCCACGGGGCATCCCAGCAAGGTGTCTTCCCCACTTTGGGCTGCAAACACCAAAGCTGGAGAGATCCCAATCTGTCTCTGCCACCATGAGCCATATGTAAAGAGCAACCCACCATACCCTCCCTTCCCACCCCAGGGTCCTGGCCACCCTCCCTCCCCAGGGACATCCCACCAGGTGCCCAAAGCGACCACCATCTGCCCTCCCACAGGTTTCGCTGCATTGTCCACCCCTTCCGGCAGAAGCTGACGCTGAGGAAAGCCCTGGTGACCATCACCATCATCTGGGTGCTGGCCCTGCTCATCATGTGCCCTGCCGCCATCACCCTGACCGTCACCAGAGAGGAGTACCACTTCATGGTGGACACCTACAACAACTCCTACCCCCTCTACTCCTGTTGGGAGGCCTGGCCAGAGACAGGGATGAGGAGGATCTACACCACCGTCCTCTTCTCCCACATCTACGTGGCCCCCCTTGCCCTTATCGTTGTCATGTATGCCCGCATCGCCTTCAAGCTCTTCAAGTCAGCAGCACCTGCCCGTGGCCAAGAGGAGCCAGAGGGGAGGAGGGTCTCCCGGAGAAAGGCAAAGGTCATCAACATGCTCATCATCGTCGCCCTCTTCTTCACCCTCTCCTGGCTGCCCCTCTGGACGCTGATGCTGCTGACGGACTATGGACAGCTGAGCGAGGGCCAGCTCCGCCTGGTCACCGTCTATGTCTTCCCCTTCGCCCACTGGTTGGCCTTCTTCAACAGCAGTGCCAACCCCATAATCTACGGCTACTTCAACGAGAACTTCCGACGGGGCTTCCAGGAGGCTTTCAGGGCCCCCTTCTGCTCACCCCACTGCCGCCATCGCCACCGCGGGCCCTACACACCCAGAAGCCATGGCCAGGGGATTCTCTTTGTCACCCGCAACCGCATCTTTGCCCAGGCACGAGCCAGCGACTCACCGCCTGCCTCCGAATCGGGGCCGTTGGCACCCCGCCGTGCCGGCATCCCCGCATGGGATGGCTGAGCAGCCGTGGCCCCCGGGCACCTCTGGACCAAGGGTTTGTGGGGTGGGGAATGGGGATTTGCCATGTCGTGGGCTGTGAGTCACTGAAATAAAGGTGCGTCCTGCTGATGCCAGGTCCCTGCTCCTCTGCTTCCCCCAGCAGCACCATCTCAGATGAGGAGCAGAGTGGGGCCATGGCACTCTGTGCCCCACAAGCACCCAGTTTACCCAGTCCAGGCCAGGGCATGTGGCTGGGGAGCACAGGGAGCCATGGGGGAGAACCTGTGTGAACAGTCTGTCACATGCCATGCTTGGCCCCACCATGGAGAACCTTGCAGCTGGACCACACCACGCTGTGTTGGACCACGCCACACCATGTT